CTTTACTGCACTTTACTTTACTTTACTTTACTTTGCTTTACTGCACTTTACTTTACTTTACTTTACTTTGCTTTACTGTACTTTACTTTACTGTACTTTACTTTACTGTACTTTACTTTACTGTACTTAACAAAACTGTGCTTGTTTCTGTAAGTAAACAAATGTACAAAGAGAGTTACTGATTAAGTTTTAATTGAATTTACACCTGTTTGTTTCTGTTTCTTGCATGATTTTATTGATAAAAACAGATATTTGTTGGTTTTTAGCCCAGTTTGAACACATTATATTGGGTTTTCTAAAATGGATCTTATGAATCTTAATGAATCTCCACAAAGATGCCATCTGACCTTCCAGCACATTTGTGGAGTTAAAGTGATCCAAAACAGGAAAGACTCACCAGAATAAAAGCTTCAATAACCTCCAATAACTGTCAAAGTTCTCCTCACAGGACAAAAGTGTTAATAAACCCTGAGTAGTGTCTGCAGGCTCGGCTTATTTTAAATAAACAGTTGTTAATTGATTGAAAAGATGAACAGTGATCAACAAAAACAACTTTAACCCTTTTATTTTGTTACATTAGTTGGAAACACCTGTGTGTTAATGTGTGTGTAGGTATACACACACACACACACACACACACACACACACACAGCCTCCTGAGAGGTCCCACATTAACGTGGGAACAAACAACGAACAAACGGGGGTCGTTTCTGCAGAGCACAAACATCAAAACACAAATTCAACTCAAATCAAAAATCAAAGCTTTGAAGAACCTGATGCAGATGTTCTCCCACCTGAGCTCTGTCTCCAGATGTTTGGTGTCCTCCAGGGTCCTGCCCGCGTCCTCCTGCGTTTGTCTCGGCTTCTCGTCTCCTGGTCCTCAGCGCTGCTCTGCGGGCTTGTTATCGTCTGTTTACTCCGTGGCCATGGAGACATCCTGTCCCACAGCAGGGAGGGCCGTCAGGCAGGAGGAGGAGAGGAGCTGGTCTGCTCCCAGAGCTGCAGGTCAGAGGTCAGAGAGGTGCTGCAAGTTACACACACACACACACACACACACACACACACACACACACACACA